GGAAATGGTCCGGGCCTAGCGGAGCGGCGAACGGAGGTGAGACGCGGCCGGGGGTGGGGAGGCGCCGGGGCCGAGCGCGGGGCTGGGGGACAGGCCTTCCCACCGACACCCCCGCCAGGTCCCGGGAGCGGCCGCCGTGGGGCCCCCGCTCTGTTCACCCGGGCTCACTTTTGGGGGGGAGCTACCCCGGCCCGGCCCGGCTCGGCTCTCCGTGCCGGCGGCACCTGCGCGGGGCCCGGCCCCCTCTCCCCCCCGCCCCCCCGGGCTGCCCTTCCCGGCCGTTGGGATCGCCCGTTCCGTGGCGCATCTCTCCCGCTTCAAACCGCGGGACCGCCGCCTGTCCCCGCTCCCCTCCGGGGGAGTGACACGGCGAGAGGGGCTCCCCAGCCGGGGGTGCCGGGCACCGCTCCCCGCCTCCTCCCGGAGAGCCGAGCTGCCTGTTCCCCCGTGCAACAGAGGGTTGGGGCGGTCCTGGGGGCCGGTGGGGTGACGGAGCCCCCTCTCCGGGCTGTTGGCTTTAATCCTGTTCCAGTAATTGACGTCAGGGCTTTGTTCCTTCCCCTTTGCTCTCTGCGTTCCCGGCCCCGAGCCGCTGGGGGATGGAGCGGGCAGGGTGGGGGGCTGCGGGGGCCACCGGAATGGCTTCGTGGAGGTGCTGCCAGAGGTGAGGAGGGAATGGCTTCGTGGAAGTGCTGCCAGAGGTGAGGAGAAGGGAGGCCGTGGGGGTTACTGACACCCAGTCACATCCTCCCGGGCAGTGACGGGGTTGTCCTTACGTAAAGCATCATCCCAGGCGAGGATGGTGTCGTTCTGTGTCATCAGAGGAGACATCACTTCACGTTTCGGGAGCCTGGGCCCACGAGTGCTTTCTTTTTTCTTTCTTTTTTTTTTTTTTTTTTTCTCCTAATGAACAAAACAAAGCAAGAAAGTGGCCGGAGGTGTAAAACTGACATCAGTGCTTTCGGTTGCTGCGTCTTTCGTTCGCTCCTTGAAGTGAGAAAATGGTGAACTTTGGTTTGAGGGGAAGCAGAGGGTGCTTGTACCTGTGTCTCAAATGCGGTTTTTTTTTTTTTTTTTTTTCTCCTAATGAACAAAACAAAGCAAGAAAGTGGCCGGAGGTGTAAAACTGACATCAGTGCTTTCGGTTGCTGCGTCTTTCGTTCGCTCCTTGAAGTGAGAAAATGGTGAACTTTGTTTTGAGGGGAAGCAGAGGGTGCTTGTACCTGTGTCTCAAATGCGGCCTGAGAAGATGATGCTCTCAGGAAGAGCGAGCTCTGCTGAGCAGCTGTGGGCCCTGCTATGGCACAGCCCCGTCTCCTCAGCTCATTACAACCTCGTTTGATCATTTACTTATGAAGACTGAGGGTTTGAAACGTTCCCGTGTTTCCACTGGTGTCAGTCAGGCCTCCCACTTGCCTCTGTGAGCTGAACAGGCACTGGCTCAGCAGCAGCAGGCTTTGAAATGAACAACTTTTGCTTGAGCCTCTGCTCCTGTTTGTCACCTCCTGGCCGGCCCCCTTCTCCTGCCTGAGCTTCTCCTGGGTGTATTCCTGGTTCCTTGAGTTTCTTTAAAACTTCAGAGTCTTCCTCTTAAGTCACTGGCACAAGGTGCTTTGCAGCCCCAGGGGCTTTATTGCGAAATGGGGCCTGGTCAAGTGCTTTGGAGGAGTGGCTGTAGGCTTGATTTGTCATTTCGTTATCTCCTCTAATGAGAGAAACATCATTAAACTCGTAGTGCTGCTGTTGTGTCCTCTGCCTCAGCAAGGTGTGATACGTGCAGTCGTAGCGCTGGAGGTGCTGCATGGGGGTTTTCCACTGGAGTTGTGCGACGGCTCCCAATGGTGATCCCACAGCTCTTGTTGGCCCATAACAAAAAAGAAAATGTTATTACCCTTTGGCTTTATTAATATCTTGGCTTTATTAATGCATCATTGTTAATTTTTCTGATTTTCTAACTGCTACGCCAGGTATTCCCGAGCTTTGTGCAAGCTCCCCTTCTGTTCAACAGCCTTAACAGTCATGAAAGAAAACAGTAAATTTCAACTCTAGTCTCTAGAAACAGCTTCAGGTCCCTAATATTTCCTTCAAACCTTTCTACACTTCTCGTTTTGTGACTTTTCTCCTGTGTTTCCAACACGAAGGGAGCGAGACTGAGCGCCTGGGGTAGGTGTTTGTACAAGAAGGCAGCACACAGCAACAAACAATAAAAAAAAAAGTAGTTCATATTAGTGTGTTTTGCATTCTCCCCAGTTAGAATGATCTGAACCTGATAAAGCATCATAAAACTTCAGTGAACTATTACTTCTAGGTTGTCTTTTTAGGAAGCTGGGATGCACAAATGCTTTTGCATGGTTATGAGCCAACTCTTTAACGAGAAGAAGCCACATATTTTTATCTGCAGACGCCACACGTTTTGTGTTCTGCAAGTTTTGCAGATAAATAGTTGTGGCAGAAATCTGTCCTGGCTTTACAGCTGATGGGTAATAAGTTGGCACATTCCCTCTAGTCCCTTCTTCCTTTTCTAGCTCCCAGCTGCTGGCGGGGACGTTCTGCTGCACTTTGTTTTCTGCCGAGGGTGCTCCTGCATGTGGGATGTGACTGAAGACGTGTGTGAGCTGTGTGTTACTGCCTGAGAGCTGCTCCCAGCATCTCCGGAAGCAGGCAGGGCACTCTGAGGCCAGGGGATGATGAAACTGCTGTCCCACTGTCACCCCCCTGGTATTTTCAGTGCTTATAAGGGTTGCCATAACTGCTTCTGATGCCTCCCTTCTGCTCATCCTCTCATTTGTGAGTTTTTTAATTATTATTACTCTTACTCTCTGCTCCAGATCAACAGAAATCTACCATGTTGAGGGTAGAAATATTACCTGGTGTTACCCGTGTCTGAGGTGGGATCTTGAGTTGAGACATGAACTCAGCCCCTGCCCGATGGGCAGATTCTGCCCTTTTTGGGCACGTGGAAGGAGTATGAGCAGCTCTGGAGGAGCCGCCTCTGCCAGCAGCAGAGTGTGTGTGGGGCTGGGAGGAAAGGTTGTTGCCCAGTATTGTGTTTGGGGTCTGCCTGGCTGAGGATGTAAGAATATTGTCTTGAGCTTTTTAGTGACTTTGAGGTTTCTTTTCTGCTGCACTAATTGTTCTCGGCCACATAATTTCAGATTGTTACTCACATGTGGTTTGTTCTACAGGCGGGTTTCCTTTTTCTCCTCTCACTGTGGTCTCACAGGTACCTTCAACTGAGGCTAAGAAATAACTGAACTTGAGTCCACTTCTCTTGTCGCTCGATTTTAACGTCTCTCGTGGAGTTTGTATCGAGAAAGAAGCAGTGTTGGTGTCAACTTTGCTAAGCAGTGAGACATTGTGCCCCAAATTGTGGGGAGATGGAGAGGCCGTAGTGATGAAGAGAGACCGTCTGGAAATGAGTCAGGAAACTTTTAACGGATTGCGTGTAGATAGAGGAGGGTGAGATGTATGTAAAATATATTGCTCATTGTGTTAAAAGAAGAAATGGGGTTCATAGAATTGCAAAAGTCAAGATGAAAGAACTTCTCTGGCAAATCCTCTTCTCTGGCGGGATCGTTCCCTCTCTGCAGTTACTCACGGGTAACAGGACGCTCTCGGCTTGTGAAATGACAGGGGCTCTGTCACTGAGGAACTAGAGCTGCGTGGGCTCCTGCTCCTTCCTCCCGTGCAGCTTCTCTCCCAGGTTTAGTCACCCTGAACTTCAGCAGTAGGACCCTTGTCTCACTCTGTATTTTTCTCTTACGGGAATCCAGATTTGTTCTTTCCAGCCACTCGCACTGGACGTGCGTGTTCCCGTTGAGTTCAGGTTTCCCAAGTGGAATAACCCACCGGGTGCTCCCTGAAGAGCTGCTGGGGAGGTGTAGGGGAGCACAGCGTGGAGCTGCAGCGTGGCACGGCTCCCTCCCTCGCTGGGGCCCTGCCAGCTTCCTACGTGCCGTCCAAAATTCCCTTTTCCCCGTAGCTGTGATATTGTTTGCCTCACGCACTCATGTCTTAATTCCGTGGCTGCCATCTCCCCAGGCTCTCAAATTCTTACTACTTTCCAAGTTTCTTTCTCCAACTTTTGTGTTTCAAACCTCTTTATTTTCCCCCTGATGTAGTGAACTGTATTTTCTCCCCAAGTGCACTAACTTGAAGTTCTTCGAGTTGTCATGTCTCTTGTTCTTACTTGATTCATTAATTCTTGCTGATGAGTGTAAAACCCAGTTTATTAACTGGCAGTAGTGCCAGGTACCGACAGGAAAAACAGAAAAAAACCCGCCTTGTGCTCAGTACTGTACAAACACTGAATAAGAGAAGTTCTTGCCCTGAAGTCTTTAACTAATTTTCTTCTGTTACCAGCTCATTAAGGCAGGTTTTCCTGCACTTCTCTCTGTTGAGCTGCTGTACCCTGTCCCAACACCTCCCCACTGGGCAGCTCACACACCGTGTGTCCATCTCTGTTACACTTCATCTTTTTATTCATGACAAATAGTGAGAATTTATTTAGTAATGACATTGATTGATCATTTACTTGCTTTCCATGTTTTGTAATTTAACAATGTGTACTTTTACTAATCCTGCAGTCCTCTGACGATGGTGTATTCCAGGACAGCCTGTTTTCTCATTCCACTCTCTCCCCGTGGGTAGGTGTCCTCCTCTCCAGCCTCACACCAGTCTCTTGCTGCTTATTCCCAGTACCACACTGGGGGCATAAAGACCAGAAACAGGCCAGAGTAACGCTGCCGTTCTCTTTGCTGGTAGCACTGCCTTTATTTTCTTTCAAAGAATTGTCATTTCCCCCCTTATCCCCAGTTTCCAAGAGTAGCTTTAAGATGCTTTTGGACTGGACTCAAAACTTTCCCCGGCTTTTAGGGTTAGTGGCTTATTTGTGGAGGGGCAGGAGGGAGCACTGGGAATGTGTGTGTCCCTCCTGGAGCTCGGGAGAATGTGTCAAACCAAACTGGACTCTGAACTTGGTGCTTTTAAAACTCTTTAACTTTTACTGTGTGTGGTGTTGAAATGAGAAAGCCCAG